GGGGGGGAGGCGGGGGGCGGCCCAACCCAGGAGGGGACAGCGCCTAGTCCTAGGAGGGCTGGAGCACAGGGCTAGGTGGCACACCCCAATGAGGGGCCAGTGGAACAAGAATCCTTTTCTGGCCAGCTCTGTCTGCCCAAGCCATGCCTCCAGTGCTGTTTCCTCTTCTCCAAACAGGAGGCTGAATGGACTGCACCCCCAAACCCTTGCCCTTCCCACTGACCCATACATTCACCCCCCACTTCCTGAAAGCATTACCACCTCTTCCAGTCCCAGCCCAGACTCCTCACTCCCCTGGCAGGTGCCCCAGGAAGATTGTACAGCCCTCCACCTTCTGTCTGCACTCCTCTCCACTGCTGGAGGGCTGCGGAGGGGGGCGAGGGGGGCGGCCAGAGAGAGGCTTGTATATCCACAGACCCACCATGCTCCCTATAATGTCCCCATGGCCGGAGCGGAGCTGCTCCCAGCCCCACCAGGGTACACCAGCTTCCACATTGTTCCCCAAGATATCAAATCTTAAGTCTGGGGTCCCACTGCTTCTCAGCTGGGTCCTCATGGAAATTCATCTGGCCAGCCAGTTCCATCTGGACACAGACACAGACAAGCCAGGACAGAGCCAGGCCATGTTTCTCCCAGCAAATCTGCTTCATTCAGGAAAAAATACCGGAGATGTGTGATGGTGTCATTCAGGCAGGGTATGGGATCTGCCGCCAAAGGGGGGAGTGCTGCTCCAGACTGGCTCCGTGGAGGCACAGAGGGCCCCATGAGAGTTCACTTGGCTCTCCCTGTAGGCTCAGCTATAGGTTTCCTGGAGTATCCCCAGCTCAGTTTGGGGGACAGGAGTACGTAGGGGAAGGAAGGAGTACCCTCTAGGGGCCTCTGGGTGTCCCATCTTGAATGGGGAAAAGAACTGGAGAGAACTGGACCCAGAGTTTAGCATGTCTTGGGCCCTGTGAGCCAGGCCTCAGTTTCCCAATTTGTGCGGGGGTGGGACAGGCCACGGCCCAGTTATTGGCACAGGTGTCCTTGTTCAATCAACACGTGTTCATAAGGAACAGGGTCCCGAGGTTCTGGGGGCAGCCAGTGTGAAGACACTGATGTGAGGGTGAGTGTGCAGTCCGGTCTCCCTTCTGCTCCAGTGCCACCTCCCCTGATGCAACTGGGGGCGCTCCATTTCTCCCCATCAAGTCCACGGAGCAGGAAGGGCTGCAGTGGGTGGCACAGCATGCCCGCTTTCTCCTCTCCGCCGGCCTGGCCTGGCCTGGCTGACCAGCTGACCGTGCAGGCAGCCCCGGGCCGAGAGACAGCTTGAGCAGCCGTCACGCCAGCAGTCCTGTGGAGAGTGGGGGCCAGGAGGCCTGCTCATTTGCACACAAACCCAACCCAGGACGTGCCCAGCCAGGCCCAGGCCCCTCGTCACAGGCACTGCCCAGAGAGGGCAGTGGGCGCAGGTCACCTTGAGACAGTGTGAGTGGGGATCCCCGATCTTGGCCACGTGGTCCCAGAAACAGCTTTGTGCTTCCCTGCCCCTCACTGGCTGACCCCTCTGAGAGGCCACAGCTGCCACCACAGCGGATGGGCTGGTTAGAGGCTGTTGCCATCATCCAGGGGAGGGAAAGGTATTGGATTAGACAGTTTGCTCGAAGCACGCAGAGCAAACGGGCCAGTGAAGTCAGGTGACCAAGGAGCCCCCGGGAAGAGACGAGGACTGGGCTCTGGGAAAAGGAGGAGGTGGCCACGGAAAGTGAGTTCAGCACCAGCCATAGTGGCCGCCCCCCACCCCCCAGAACTTTGGGTGAGCGGAGAGATGGCAGCACCTCCAGAGGAACTCAGCACCCAAGGGGCATGACCTGGGTAAGTTTCTGGGCTTCCAGGCGGGGTCTGTGCAGGGGCGAAAGTGGGCACCAAGCTTGCTGTCTGGGGTGGGTGGGTGGGTCCTGGGAGCTGGGTTGCAGCTGCAGCCCAGGGGCCTGTGCATGTGTCAGGCCAGTCCATCAGGTGCACAGATGACCGTCCCCAGCACCCGAGACCAGGCGAGGCCAGGACATCAGCGCCAGCCCCCCACACCCTTGTGCTTTCTGCTCGAGGCTCTCCAGGCACATCTGCTCCCTCACAGCTGGTACACATTGTGCCTGGGGCCTGTCCCACTTTCCACCCAAGTGGGGTGTGGGGGTGGGTGATAACCTGCCCAGTGGGACTCACCCCACATATTGGGGCAAACTTGGGCCCAGGGAGGCCGTCTGTCTCCTCAGGCAGTGACAGGCACCCCCTTGGCATGGGGCTTGGTCCCCATGTTGCCCTGAGTCCTGGCACCCTTGCTTAGGTCTCCTCACTTGCAGGATGGGTGGTGGGGACTTACTTAGTCTCTAGATGCTTCTGGCACCAGGTCCTGGGAGCAGCCTTCTCTCCTCAGCTGGTCCTGGAGCAGGGTGGTATGGGGACCCATAGCACCTTCCTCCGCCCTCAGCCAGAGCTCATCTTGGCCATTAACCTGCCCAACTTGCCCACAGCCCCCCCCGCTGTCACCTCCATTAGTGCCTGCATGTGTGTGTCTGGGGGTGGGGGTGGGGGTGGGGGTAGAACGGACAGGGGGCCCAGGGAAGGCAGGGGGCAGTGCACGGTGCC